AACGAATGGACAAAAATGGTCAAAGAAAATAGACAGCATTTTCTTCCGAAAGCCCCCAGAAGTTTTTTTTCTCTCTGCCATGCGCTTCACTGCAGGAAAACGATCTCTAATTCTAGAGCTCCCCAGGAGAAGCCTGGAGGTATGGCCACCATGATAGTTTTAAGGATTCTCTGTACAAAATGACTCTGTGTTCAGCACTGAATGTGCTGAACCTTACGCATGAACATACACACAAGCACAGCACTGCAGGGAAAGCTTAGATCTGCATCAAAATCTGCTTCACCTTGTCTGGGAGTAGTTGGATCTTGAAATGGAAAATACTCCATTTCCCAGCACTGTAGAACCTGGGTCCCTGGTGCTATGAGGCAGCAGTGCTAACCACTGAGCCACCAAGAACCACTTAATGAACACGCGCAAAATTCACAACAGCAAAAATAGTTAAGGAGAAACATATCTAGATTAATGGGCCTTCACAACACTTTGATAAAATCAAAGAGTTAGGATCGTGTCAAGGATCATTCTGAAGCATCGAGTGGCCTTTGTCCTTAATTAAATCTTTCCGGAGCTTGAGTAATAAAAAAGCCAAGCATAAATGTCACTCCCTGCACCAGAAAATATCACAGTGACCTGCAATTTGAATTCACTCATCTCCCGGATCCGACAGGCAAATCACAGTCGTTAAGCACCCGAGACAGACAGCCACAATTAATTTTCTTTCTTCCTTGGTTTCTGTACTACTATCTCCTCCATCCCTGATTACCTCCCGAACCCCCACCCTGCCTTCAGGCCCATTTCACATGACCTCACCTCCCTCTCAACTCAACATTGTGCAACTAGCCCACAGTGGCCTCATGTTCTCTAAAATTATCAATAGGCCCTTCTCTTCAGACCTGTACCTTTAAAGGCCTTTCAACGGCTTTCCTTTAAACTATCCATCTCGTCTCACTAACACACTATCTCCAATCTTTCTTTGCCTCTCTCACACACTCAAATATTATGCTGCCACTTTCTTCATTTATACTAATTTCTGTAACCATTTTCACTTGGCTCCCTATTATTTCGGGACTCAAGGAAATGTAATTGCAGTGTTTCACCTCTTGTATATACATAAACATTACACAAGAAAGGTCTTCTTATAAATAAACAGTGTGGATTCAGGAAGTACAAGAATTTGAGAATTTCTTTGTCTGGACTTTACAAATGAGGTGACGTAACTCAGTGAATTCCCTCCCTACTCTTATCTATCTGCGATCCGGTTAGGGGACAGGGTCAAGTCAGGTTCAGGGTTTGGGTTAGGCTTAGAGTTAGGGGTTAAGGTTTGGATTAGGGTTAGGTTTAGGGGTTAGGGTTAGGCCTAGAGTTAGAGGTTAGGGGGTAGGGTTAAAGGTTAGCGGTTTGGGTTAGGGTGAGGGGTTAGAGTTTAGGGTTAGGGTTAGAGTTGGTGTTAGGGTTAGGGGTTAGGGGTCAGGGTTAGTGGCTAAGCTTAGGTTTAGGTTTAGGGTTAGGGTTAGGGGTTAGGTGTTAGGCTTATGGTTAGGATGACGGTTGTGGTAAGAGTTAGGGGTTAGGGTTAGTTGTTGGGAGTTAGCCTTAGGTATAGGGTTAAGGGTTAGGGGTTTGGGTTAGGGTTAAGGTTAGGGTTAGGATTAGGGGTTAGGGTTAGTATTTGGGTTAGGGTTAGGGTTAGGGCTCAGGTTGAGGTTAGGGTTACGGTTAGGGTTAGGGCTCAGGTAAAGGTTAGGGTTTGGGTTAGGGTTCAGGGTTATGAGTTAGGGTTAGCGTTAGGGGTTAGGGGTAGGATTAGTGTTAGGGGTTAGAGTTAGGGGTTCGGG